TTTAAGTGGAGCTCTCCACTTATATCAGTGGGAAATTCTGTTCAGAAACTGACCACCCTTTAGGATCACACAATCTGTTAGTAGCAGGCAACACAGTTTTGTAAAGAAATTGAAAAATACTGAAGACATTCTGAAATTTTGGAAGAAAAATGACTATGCATCCCAGGCTGTAGGAAGCCATTCAAAAATGGATTTCTGGTTCCTTGGGCTACATATGCAGACATTTTAAGTTTCCATGCTAATTTGTACAAATGAAAACTGAATTACAAATTAGAAAAAAAATTAGTAGACTATTAAAATGTACTCTTTGGTAGAAAATATGTTTAAGTATTATACATGGAGTTGCTGTATGTTGTTAAATATTAAACATGGTTTTTTAAAGCCATGTTTTCTTGGAACATAGTTGAAGTTAAAAACGTAAAGCATTTTTTAAAAAGTGCCCAAGTACCAGGTGAAGTCAATGTTTTTTACAAGCTATCTGTATAGAGGAAACACTAGACTGCTTCAACGAATAAACATGTCTTTATTCTCAGTGCATTTGTTTTTTCCCTGGATATTTTGTAGAGAGAGAACAGATGAATACATTTAGAACAAAAAGAAGCTGTTCTGTAAATTCTTACTGAATTTTAAAAATCTAGATAAATTTCACTCCTGAATTACAGAAAACTGCATCCCTATTGCTTAGCTCAAATAGCTTGAAACCTAAGTGTAAAGGTACTCATCTTGAGGCAAAAGCTTATTTTGGAAATTCAAATATTGACTGGAAATTGTATTTTAAATTTGTGCCTTGTGAATCACATCACAGCAGGGACTTCCACGAAGATTTCACTTAACAAGGTATAGGAAACTTAGCTAAATACTAAAAATTCTAATGATACTCATGCTTCCCCACATGAAGATCTTGTAATGTCATTGACTTTACAAGACTATAACTAAGGTTAGCAACATTTTTAGTTTTCAGAATTTGTACTGCAGCACCATTTAGGAATTCCAGTCAAGAACTGAGCTTTGCCCTGTGTGTGTGTATAGTACAAGATGGACTGTGTCCTAAATACCTTATAAATGGTGAGATGGAAAAAAGAAGCCTAAAAAAATTTGAATGAATTAAAAGTTGTAAGACAGGCTAATACATATCTACTGATGACCTCAATACTGAGACAGGAAGAAATGACTGACTTTTCATTACTAACATACATTTTGGGAACTTGCTACCCTAGTTCCCTTTTCAGCCATGGAAAAGTCACTGCAGTTAAGAATGTCACTCCAGTTCTGAGTTCAAAAATAACTCTGGTCACCTTGTCAAAACAGGGTGATATGATTCAAAGAATCATACAAGCAGAGTATCTATAGCTACTTCAAATAGAAAACCCTGCAGTCGGAACCTTTTAGAAGAATAAAGGTTAACTTCCCACAAATTAGAGCTTCACACTGAATTTCGATAGTGAAACATGTATGTGTGTAGTATGCAACAAATATTTAATGAAGCAAGCACTTCTCATCCCCAGTGTTTTCACAATCATGTGGTTCTAGAATTACGATGTATAGATACTACAAATACAAGCATTTCAGGTTTGCACTGCTGTTCTGTTGGACAAAAATTTATGAGCAGACAAAACTCGGTCCCTAAGAACAACACACCAAGCTCTGAGCATCTAAGCTTTTTCTCCATTTGGAGGCCCACTGGAAGCCCTAATTATTTAAGTGGAGGAGGTTTCAAATGCCCATACCAGTCCAGCAAAGTCCAAAACAGAAGGGTCACAGTTGTTATTGGACAAGCAGCAAAAAGCCAGTGGGGAACAAATAGTTGGGTGCAATAATCAAACCCAAGTTAAACAGTCAAGTTTACATTTCACAAAGTGTCACTAAAGTATTTGTAAAGGAAAGCCATGAAAAGAAACCAATGAATTCCTAAAGAGTTTGAGAAGTCCAAATCAGCACAGATAGTATTTGCTTTTCAGAAAGATTTTTTAATGATTAAACCTGCCCCTTGCCCCAATTTACTCCCCAAAAAGCTTTGACAGACCATCAATAGACAGACAGCTGTCAATACACTACAAAGAACTTACTCTGCTGCCTTCAGTGCTATAGTAAACAGGAAATCCCAACTTCCAGCTCAAGCTGTACCCTCCCAAGAAACAAAAATACTAGAGCATTATATAAAATCACAATGTTTTCACTAGTAATATTACTAATGATTATCAATAGTTAAAGAGGTCAATAAGACATTCACCTCCCACTAGCACAACCAATTTTAAGAGAATAGGGATTATAACCTTATCATATTGTTGAACAGCAGAGATTGATGCAATGACCTGATTTACAAAGTGTTCACAAGCTAGCTACTATGCTAAAGTACTTTTTAGGACTTTGATTTCAATACTCAATAATTTTTTATAACATGATCACAAATATTTTATATTTTGTTTTGTTTGTTCTTGAACTTACTATCATTTAATTATTCACTGCATACTAATCCATTGTTTTTGTAATTATATTTATTGTCGTATGCAGTAGATGGTAAGTTACAATGCTACTTTGAAGAAACAAAATCAGAAGAAAAACATATGTTAAGTACTTCTACATAAATTACAAATAAACTTCAATGTCATGTCCCACAAAATCAAATTATATGCCAGTAGTGCAGAAACACAGCAATACTCTTCTTGCACACTGCTGTGGTATTTATACTGGTATTGTACCATCCTTCCCACCTAAACTTTAGAAGGCTATCTTTCACTAAGCCATGTTTTCCCTGTCATATACTTGCATAATTTATTTGCATCATATTCCTATTTCAGGATAGAAAACCCACTACCGTGCTAGCATTGCAGGCGAGACAATGTCCGCTTAAAGTTTACAGCTAATAAATTAGTGTAAGATGGCACATCATTTAATTATTTAAGGATTGTATTGATTGTTATTACATACATAATCTTGTCACTTAATGATGAGTAATATTCAAACACTATTAACTTGGCTATATGATGGACAACAACTAATTCTATTCTCTCTATATAAATTTCTGCAAAGAAATCAGTGAGTAACACGACTTCATATTCCCAGAAGGCTGAATCTGCTTTTTGTTTGCCGATAAAGAGCTAACGTAATTCATAAGAAGCAAAAGCCCACATTTTAATTAACACTATTCGTTACCTTTAGAGAGGCTAAAATACACATTAAAAAACATTCCTGAATGCCAGCGTTTAAAGACGACAGTAGCTCAGAATATACACTGCCTCTTCTATATGTATTTAATCTAGCCTGAAAGTCTCTGTCCCAGCAGCTTTCACTCCAGCAAGAGTCCAACTCCCGCCTCAGGAAATGTACTAGTCTGCATGACGATGACCAAGGGCAAAACGTCAATAAGGGTTCTGAGGGAAGACAGACAGGAAGGTCAGGTCTTTGTGTGTAACTGTTCCTGCAGCGAAGTCCCTCTCCACCAAAACAGGGCTTAGGTCCTATTGATGCTTTTGTTTTTCACTGAAAGCTGCTTAATTGTTGAAAATATCTCCGATCAAAGCTATTCATTTGTTATTTGAAAGAATTCTAAAATATAAGATATGGCAGCAGCCAGCAGGGAACCTGCCAGCCTTCCCTGCTGGAAACCCACCAACAGCTGTTCTGGGACAGCCGCTCCTTTTCTCCTTCGCCCTCATGGCTAACACTAGCAAGGGCTTGTCTCTGGAAACAAGCACGAGCAGAAGTACCCTTCAGCTTCATAGTCCGCTGCCATCACAACAGACACAGGCAGTCGAACTTTTGCAGACTCTACATCCTGCTACAAACACATCTGCTTCTCCAGCTGTCCTGCTCCTACTCATTTTTCGACCTTCCCAACCTCCTTTCCTCTTCTGCCTTTTCTACCAGGATCCCTCTATCCTCCACAAGCAAAAGAAGCAAACAAACAAAAGGCAATTCAGGGCACCACCAGGGCTGAAATGAGCTCAACTGCTTTGCAAGAATGCTCTATAACTTTTTACCAAACCCTTATCTTTAAAGGCTGATTTTCAGAGAGTACACAAAACACACTTCTTACTCTAACTGGTAAGCAAGCATCATTTGCTAGTTGATTCTTCTTCACATTAAGATGCCAGGACTGTGATAGAAGTAGTGTAACATTTGGGGTGGGAAAGCCACTAGCAAATAATTCCTAGAGTAGGAATTTCAGGTAGTTAGTGAGGACATATCATAGAAAACACTTTATTTATGATTTACAAAATCTTATTGTTTCCAGATAACATAAAATTAAAAAATAAAATCCGAACATTTAAAGTCTACAAAAAGCTAGAAGTTTAGATTATTTTCAAGTGAGCATTCTCATTTATGGTTTATAATCACATGTGCTTTTACAGCCATTGAAAATAAAAACGTTCCTTCCATGACTTGAACCTAGCTCTTTTTCGAGCGTACAAGAGACACCATAAATTGGATTAAAGCAAACCTACACAACCTTGGAGCACATACTTCAAACTTACAAAGTTTAAGAAAATCAGTTCTTTGAGGGCTAGAACTCCAAAACATTTTAAAACTTTTTCCATGGGAGCCATTTATGTGAAAACAAACCAAAGAATAACTTTAAAGTTGGCGTAAAAATAAAAACATGGAATGAAGTTAATTTCTGGGGTTATTCCATTCAGTTACATCATGGGTCAATTTGGCAGAAAATGCCCATATTTTGGCAGAAAATATTGTCATAATTCATCACAGTAAAAAAAAAACACCAAAAACTTATTTAATAAAAGAATCAAATTAACTAGATGAACTAGGAGGCAATTGTCAGAAAGACATCAAAATTACAAGTATGCTTTCCACCAGCATTAAATAAATTCAGTCTTCTTAAATGCATATTGATTTAAAGTTCTCAAAGCAAATTTATTTTGTCAAATCACTATAAGATGGAAAGAAAAATGAGCTATGTAATGCCAATGTTACCTTATTCAAGCAGATTAACTCGTGCTAATCATTAAATTACACATTTGGCCTGCTGCATATTCTTAGTTCATAAAAAGTTCTAGTTAGCTATTTGAAAGTGTTCAGGGTGATAGCTGAATATTCGCTGTGCATAAGGATCACTGTCCGTTGCCATTTTTTCTCCCATGTAATGGTGGTAGCTCTCCGGATGAAAGTGTTCACAGTGAAGGCTAATCCATTCTCTTCCAGTACTGTATCTTTCTGCTTCGGCAAGTATTCTAGTGAGAGCCATGATATAACTCAAAGCCATCTGAAGGGTCTCATACTTGGATAGCTTCTTATCTTGACCCCACTGTGGAACCACCTTTCTCAAACGATCAAAGGCTGTGTTCAGTCCTTGCATCCGTCTTCTCTCCCTGGCATTGGCAGCCAGTCTTCTCTTTGCAGCATTTTCCATCCTTTCCGAACTGCACTTCACAACACAGCCCGGTCCACTTCTGCACTGGATGTCTGATTCTACGCCTGAATCCAAATGACTAGATTTACAGGTTTTCATATTCGATGCAGCTTCAGTTTCCCACACACAAAGATTCCTTTTTAAGAATTAGGTATCTAAAAAGCAATCGGGAAAGCACTCATGTGAGTAGTTTGTGCACCTCTTCAATCTGTTTCCAGATATCGATGATGGGTTATTTTTGTTAGCATCTAAAAAAAATATAATAATAAAATTAAAAGTCTTCTGGTTCTTCTGGAAGTGTCTGAAAATTGCTTCTTACTTTCTAAAGAAAGAATAAAGAGTTTTTAATGTCTTATGCTCTCATTCTTTTAATTTCTTTAAACTCAAAGCGATAGAAAACAATGAAATCTCCATTCTCAAAATGTATGTTACGGAAGAAAACAGTCCATTTAATCCAAAAAGGATCTTAATGAATTGCAAAGACATCAATTCCAAATGACCATTTCAGATGAAAGAAGTTTTGATTCAGTTTAGGAGAGTATTTTGAAATGATGAACTGTTGTGATCTGAAGACATAGCTTCGTAACAGAAATCTCCCCTTTCTTGACTCCTGCGGGCAAGCAATGGTTGTGTCTTACAGACAAGATGAGGCTTTATAGAAACTGCAAAAGCTAAACAGGTGGTAGCAGGTGGGCGGGCGGGCGGCACTCTGCTTCCATCCCAGTACCTTCCCACCCTGGGAACTACAGGGGGAAAAAAAAAACAAAACAGTAAAATCCGAACATCACAGCCTTCATCTGTTGAGAAGTCTTCCAAAGCCATTCTGTCCAGCCCTAACAACTTGCCATCTGGAGTAGTGTCTGGCTGGCCTCACAAGACTCTGGGCAGTTAAGCAAAAGATCCTTTCAATGGATAATTTGTTGCAACTCCGGAAAAAAAAAAAATCTCTGTGCATTGTAGTACTTGTACATTAAAACATGTGAAAACTCTGGTTAGATAGTATTTACGGTAGAAGAAATAACTGTTTTAATGAAACAGAAGAGAATCAGCTTAATGGTGTATGGCCAAGAACACTACTGTTTCGCACTATACAGTACCAAAATAAGTAGACTCAAATTATTAGAAAACCTTCATGATTCACAATTTTAATATTGCATAAAGTATACAACATTGCACAGGGAGTAGTGCCTTGAGAAAAATGGGAATTATGTACTCACATGTCAGCAACTCCAATGTCATTAAAATAATTTAAAATATATTTAAAATGTTAAAATGTAGTTATGGATTTATCTAATAAAGATTGTAAAAATATTTGGATAGGTTGGGACACAGACATATGCAAAAACATGTAAGAACACAAATTGACTGAAAACTGACCTTTTTAATACACCATATTAAAGTATATATGTGTATTTTATATGAATTTTTTTTAAAATGTGTCTTTTCAGTAATATCCCTGAATAGGTAAAGAGAATAAAACAGGATGTAAAAAAAGAAATCTGCTTTTAAGTAGTAAAAAATAAGGGATCATTTCTGCTACCAATTGTCATTATAGAGAAGCCACCAAACACACACCCACACCCCATAATCAAAACATCTTTGTTTTACTGTACTTGTATTATTAAAACCATTATCTACATAAAATTGCAAGAAGATATCGTATGATTCTTTCATGATATACACAAAAGGTAAAAAAAACCCTGCCACACAATGATTTATTATCTGTATTGATTTCAAACTTAATTAAATTGTTACCAGCATTCATAAATTAGTAACTTTTTTCATTAGAGACTGAACACTATATATTTATTTAGAACTATAGCTCAATTGTTTTCATTATGACTCCAAAACTTGGTGTAGTTGTAAACAGCTGATTAATCCCTAGCAGAAGCAATGACAATGAAATGAGGTTGAATAATCCAAAAACAATAGGATGCAATTGAACACTAATGGACTCCAGCATGACAGATGTTGAACGTAGGCTGTTACGCCCAGTTGCTCTGCTCTTAATATTCTGAATCCTAATGGTCTTGAACAGAGATGATAGTTGGGGTAGGGAGTCTCCATTATTCCATTATCAAAATGTATGCCACATCTTAAATTTTTAAAGAAGTACAACTGCATCATGTTTCATTATAAATGTTTAACATTCCTATCTGTGTGCATTGACCTATTCTCCTAAACATAAAGAACTACTACCACACATTAAAATGCTACTTGCTGAATGACAATTTCTGATTATTTGTGTGTGTGAGAGAGCTGAGAAAAACCACATAACCATATGTCTTTCACAGAAGGATCACCAATTAGAACTTGTGAGATATTTCTTTTTCTGAAGAAGCTCCATGGGAATTATTGCACGTGCAGTTAAAAAAAAAAAAATACACCTCTGATCTTCATGCTATTGCTAGAGCATATTTTAGTGCTACAGCCTTCTATGCCCAAATAGGTTTATTCGTTATATCCTTTGTGTCTTAAAACAAATCTCAAGGGATTAATAAAATTAAGGTGTTTTGTAAGGTAATAAATATTGTGCATTCTCGTGAGATAGCTATTACTCAACCCAGATAATTAAGCACTCTTATTGTTAAGAGTGCTGTTAACTTCACACTAGAAATATGAAAAACACCCCTTTAAAATATCATATGGTATAATACTGTATTTTTTCGTTTGTCAGCGGTTTTCCTATTTTTATGTCCTGCCAGTATGAATTACAAGGAAGACTTCAAATATAATGAAAATCACAGTTCTTAAAAACTTTGTATTTTACTCCACTAATGTATGTAGTAACATAGTACATGACAGTGCTGTTAATTTTACCCTTCCTAATTGATTCACCACCATTATCATGCTTTGACTAACACATTGATACAATCTCAAGAGAGAAGCTGTGATTTATCTCTTCTACTGAACAAATTGTAGCTTTACCTTAAATGATTTACTATTAAATCACAGAACGAGGGCCCAAATCCATCTGGATTAATAACGATCCCCTAACAGGATTTTATAGCTTATAAGCAAGGCTAAAAATTGTTTTCATGGCAGATCAAAATGCCTGCTTTTCATCACTTACAATAATTTAAGTTTCTGTTTTATGAAAGAGAAATCAGAAAAGTAAGTATTAAGGTCTTATCCTCACCAATTAATTTAGTTCATTTGCATAGCCCACCAGCCGTATGAAAATACGTTATCTCAAGCTAGAAAATAAACTGCTTTATTGCTCAGTCAATAATAGAAAGGGTATCAGTGAAATTTTCCCCAAGTTTCCTTCACCTGGTTTGACTTCCTCTATATTTCAGCTTGCCTCAGTTATTGCTTATATGTTTTTATTTCCTCCTCCATATATTTTTAATCATTTCTCATTCTTATTCTTTGAAATAATTTTTCAAACGATTCTCAAGATTTTTATGATATAAGTTTTCAAAAAGCTATTACTATATTCTGATGTGATACACTGCTATGGTGCTAAAAACTTTTCGAGATCCGAACTTATATTAGTCTTATCTTTATTGTACATCAATCATTTCTAAATAATTTCCCTTTTACTCTTATTGTCATAATATATCTCAAGCCAGAGGAATATTAGAATCACTAGAAAGAAGTTCTGTGTCTACTCAATTACTCAGATTCCAATCTTTGAATGTCTAACTATGCAGGTACAAATTGTGTTTTGTGCTACTACAAGTGCTACTCCATGACCCTAGCAGCATTATTCTTGATTCACATTTTAATTCTAAAACAGTATCTTTAATCAAAATAATGTGTTTTTCTCAGAGAAAAACAAGAGACAGGTAAGAATGCTATTTCAGTCATAAACCAAATCTTTAAGTCACCACTGATATTAGGAAAATAAGGGATAGTTTCAGTCCATTAAAGAAATTAACTAGTTTCAGGATTTATGACTACCTAGAGATACATTAAAAATTGTCTGCTATCCAAGTTAATAACTCAGATGCGATTATCACAGCACCCACTGAGAAGAGCTGGGTATCCTCCATCTGTACTACTATGGAAAACACAATCTAATTACTTTCATTGTGGAATGACTGTGGCCAAATACTAATTTTAAAAGGAAGTGAAAGTAACATTTCTGGTTAAAGTCTAATTCCTCAATACCTTCTCTTCTCTAGTTGTGCTAAAAATAACATACAAGCAACATATCAAAGCAAAAATCTTACCTCTTTCTTCTAGCCAGAACTCACTATTTCATCTCAGGTAGATCCTTTCTAAAAGCCTCATCAAGACTTCTTACCATTGTAGTTTATACTGAGCGAAGCTGAAAGACTGGCATGCCGTATGCTGCTTAATTAAGAACAGGTGGGTAACTACCAAAATATGACCATCCTTAAGGGCCCGATTTCTAGTAATATTTGACTCAGCTCACGAGACAGGCTAAAAATCCATGGTATGCAGAATAATATATCTCCCTTCCTTGGTTATTTACAATGCTTTCCCTGTCACAGCTATAGGACAATCAGAAAACAGAGTAATTGACAAGTGAATGTTATATCCTGAACTGAAGGCAAATTTAGATACTAACTCCTTACTGGGAAGTTGAATAGCAAGCTACAGTTGTAAAAGGAGTTTACAATCATTTCACCGAGGGCTTCCCAATCTCATACTGGACACCCTTTTCTACAGAGTTGCTTAGAACATTTTATTTTCCTCTTAAGCCTCTCTGGGGTGAGCTTTTCTTTCTAATAGTTCTGCAAGTCTCCCAACCACACATAAGGCTCTACCCGCCATACTACCTCCTCCAGCTATCGCTTCTTCTCAATTTACTTATTTCTCCTTGCCAGTCATCCTTTTCTGTTCCATGTTATCTTGCTTAAGTAGCTTTCCCTCGGGTTGGGATCAAAAAGCATAGCTCTCCCCAGTGATCCTGTACAGAACACCCTTTCAATGTAACTTTGTTTTAAAGCACGCTTCTACAACAGGAGGTCTAAAACCTCCAAAAAAAAAAAAAAAAAAAAAAAAAGATAATTTTATCCTGGTACTAGAGGAACATGTTTTGAACCTCTGTCTAAAATGCTATTCACCGGTAATTATATATTGAATATGATTACTACTACATGCATATTTATACACACATACATATACACAAGACAGGTCATGAAAATAAAGAAG